ATGACTTTTATCTAGTTACCTTGTATTTCCAGCTTGCTAAGAGTTTTTATCATAAATAGGTGCTGGATTTTATCAAATGGTTTTTATGGCATCAAGTGGTTTTATGGAAAAAAATCACGGTTTTTCTTCTTTGTCTACTAATGAGATAAACTACATTAATAGATTAACATTACAGTTGTTAATCTTTCACTAAAGCAGTGTCTTGAAGGCAAATAACTAAGATTTTGTGCTCTTCTCATAAGAATTTTTTTGTTTAAGGTTGTGACTACATATGCGCATCAAAGCAAATATTTTCTCTGCACAGCTAAGTGGACAATTAATGGTACTGCTTGATAAAATTAGTAACTAGAAATGAAATCTCCAGTTGCTTTACCAGATGCCATTAAAACTTGCAGTCATTAACAGGAGAGAAAACCTGGCTGTGATGTTCACATTCATTTTCACCACCACCTGCACGAGCAGCACCACCACCACCGAGGCGGGGCTGGGGACACTCAAACCAAAGCACTTTCTTTCCCTACCTATGAAGCATACATCCTGGTTGGGGTCAGTTCTGGATTACAAAACAGACTTTGGTCTTAAATCTTTCTAACTGCAACTGAATGTTAAGGCTGATCACTAACATAACAAAGTTCAACATGCAACAAACTTTTGCGTTTGGACACATGCTGAATTGCTGAGTTTTATGAGCAACGGCTCTGGAAAGTGATTTTACACACTAGCTTCAAAGCGGATGTCCCCCCTCCCACTGCACTAGGAAGCAACTCACAACATTTCCCTAGCAGGAGGCAAAGTGTACAGAGAAATGGAAGAATGCAGTGTAGATATAGGTCAACTTTCGATCCCTAACTTGTTCAACGTACGCAGATGGGCTAAAAGCACAGCAACACGAGTTGCCAGATTTCTTTTCTCTCTCTGGCTGCAGAAAGGACTGAAAGCCTCTTCTAACGAAACTCAGGCAGGCTTATTTTCCCCTCACCTCGAAGGGCGAAACTTTAAGAGGGTACAGATGAGAAAAGAGCTTGCTAATGCTGAGAGACGCCAGTGGCGATAAGGATCGCGTTCGTGGCAGAACTTGGGGTGGCGTACGTACCAGGCTGCTTCCCTAGGCCAGGTAACACAAGAAGCCAGGCCCGCTCAGGCGCTGGCCGCGGGCACAGCCGAGGGGGAGGGGGCGGGAGGGGAGGAGAGGAGACCCAGGCCTGGAACAAAGGCAGCGGGGCTGCTCCAGGAGCGGGGTGGACTTGGCGTCCGGGTGGGGAGGAGAGAAGCCGAGCTGCTGGGGAAAGGCTGGACTCACGGAACTTGGAGGTGGAGGTGTTGATGTTGATGGTGGAGCCGGGGGTGGGGGCGGGGGCCGCCTTGGCCACGGCGGCCGCGTCGCAGCTCTTCAGCATCATGATCACCCCATTGGCCTCCGGCCCCAGCGGGAGCCCCTCCTTGGGGCCTTTCCTGTCCACGGAGACGGCGGGCACGGCCAGCAGCTGGCCCCCCGGAGGCTCTCGAGCGGGGACTGGCATCGACGAGGGGGGCGGCGGAGGCGGCGGGGGTGGCGGGGGCTGCCGGAAGCCGTCCACGGCGGCCTCCCAGTTGTTATGGTTCTGGTCGTCCATCATCGCCTCGTAGATTAGTACCTCTTCCTCCTCCATGCTCTCCTCCATCCTGCTGTCCCCCAGCACCCGTCCGCCTCACAGGCACCTGCCGCCCGCCTCAACCCCCGGGCCAGGGGGCACCGCAGGCTCCTCGAGCTCACATCGCCAGGGACCGGAACGGGGAAACCACAGCTGGAAGAGCAGTGCCACACCGGGTCTCCCGCTCTGCTCCGGGCCGACGCTCCTGAAGACACAGCTGACGGCGGTGGGCGCTCCGGGGCTCTACTTCAGGGAGAGGCAGCCGTAAAGCGGCAGCGCCACTCACGCCATTTTACGGCAGCCTCCAACAGGCGGTTGGAAAGAGCGCTGGGGGAGCGGCCAGAAGGGCACGTGGTGCAAGTGAAGAGCCTTGGAGAAAGCAGAGCGAAAAGGGGCGGGAGCTGAGTCTACCCCACGCAATAGGTGAAGGTTCGCCCCGCCTCGGCGGGGCTCTGAGAGGGGTGGGGCGACGGGTGCCGGTGAGCCTCGCCGACCCCGCCCCCGGGCCGGCCTCACGTGATAAGGGAGTTTGGCCCGCGCACGCGCGGTCGCAGTCTGGTTACCGGGACGACCAGGATCGGAAAGGCACTTGAAGACTAGAGCCAAGCCGAGGTCTTTGCGGTAGCCCGAGTGCTTGGCGGTTTTCCCACGCCCACTTGCGTCTCCCAGACCTTAGTACCTTGGAGTGCCTCGCAGCCTTAGTGTGGGGACAGCGGTGTGAGGCCACGAGAAGCTTCAGGGTGCAGGTTATGAACGTGTCGGACGGCTCGTGCGGACTGCTCACGGATCATTCCTCAGCCTTGGAGACCCACTGCAGGGAGGCGAGAAAAGTAATGCGTTCGAGATGTTGATGCGTTTTGGTGTTGCTGCCAGGGATTGAACTCG